TTGCACTGCACCACTTTAGTTTTGCACTGCGCCACTTGACTTTTGCACTGCGATTGACTTTTGCACTGCGCCACTTGTAATTTGTCCTTTTGGCGTTCTATACGAAGCAGCCAATTCATATTTTTGACAGCAATTTGACCTCTGAAAGGTCATTGTTTGTCAAAAAACAAGAGCCTTAGACGACTGAAAAGCGGAGTTTCCTTCTTTCGTTCTGCCGGGTAAAATCAATTACTTTAGGCGACGTTTGTAGACTAACTAACACGTACCAACGTCCGCATGTCGCGCTAGCCTTATCCTACTCTAGGCCTAGACTAGTTAGGATGGTATAGGCCTATATCCTTGAAGGGACGAAGGTCCTAATAACAAAATCAACGTCGCTCCTTGATAGCTAATGTTGTCTATTTGACATCACAATAATTCATTATTAGACCTATAGTTGTTTTTTGAATTGTACTCCACAAATCTCAAGCCGATACCTCGCACAACTCGAGTAACGTCTCGTATTTATTGTCGTAACTTCATGGCTCGCTGGCTCACACTTGCGATGTCTCGCACTTGTGATCAAATAACACGCTGGCTCGCACTTTGGCAACACTCTTTGGCAGTCAACTCGCCCCTAGAAAACCCGCCCTTGGAAACTTGCCCAATAAAAAAAATGTACACTTTCTAGACCATGCAGTCTTCAAAATGAAAATTGTAACCTTTGGTAATCAACTACATTTTCCACATACATTGAAATTTTTGAAACTTTATTTTAAAAAACCTAAACCATAATTCACAACTATAAACACTTTTTGACAAAAATGAAAAATTACGACTTTGTTACACAATGAGAAGTGTTCTAATATAGACAATGGGTCGTGTCTCATATTATTTGTTATATTTTTATTATTCATTATTTTCACTTGACTCGCATAAATAATTTTGTTCGAAGAATAATTTACAATTTGCAATTTCTAGTATTACCCCGGTATTCTTAAAACAAACTTTAGTCGTAGTTCAAGCTAAAACTTAAAAATTACGTCATTTCGTATTCTTAAAACGATCTTCGTCTAACACTACGACTAAATGACGCGAAAATCGATTAATCAGCCTAGGGTCAGGCTATATCGTCCACTTGAAATATTTACCCCATTAAAAACGTGTTTTTGTAACTCACGATAAAGTAAAATAAATAAAAACGATTGTATACGCAGGTTTATTATGAGGAAATGCGTTTTTGAACCGACCACAGACGGCAGCATAATATTCATATTCATCCGACAGTACCCTTGTTGTCGACCGATACTGGACCAGATACACCGGAGCTATCTGGATGCGATTTACTTTTAGTAGACCTGCTTGTGTTACAGCAAACAGAATGACCCTTCATTGAAAAGTACTGACCAACTTCAAAGATAGTGATAACACTTCCGCCAATAAACAAACCCAATAATAATAATAAAATTATTATTAATAAATATTTAATATTTTCGGTGTGATAAACAAAAGAGACATCAAGTTTTAGCTCCCAAATGGAGATATTAACATGTTTTGCTAGCCACATGCGATAGTTCTTGATTTGCACGAAATCTCTCGCGTTGCGATCACGTAGCTTCACCATAGCAACAACAAAGATGGCGCCGTCCTCGCTAGGGCTCAACTATAATAGTTCTCCAAAGAAAGCAAATTTTCAGTGACTGTTCAAATTCTCTATCGTAATATGTTAACAACTAATATTATAGAAAATTAATTAAGTGAATGATGGTCTATTATGAATTATGAGGAAATGCGTTTTTGAACCGACCACAGACGGCAGCATAATATTCATATTCATCCGCGTTACCGGATCTCTAAAATTTCGTCTTCTATTAAATTTAGCCATTTTTATTGGTTAGTTTGATAGTCTTGGCTAAAACTAGGACTTGATTTAGTCGTAGTTAAATCTTCGACTACGTTATTTGTGAATACATATTGAAGTTGAAGTTGAAACAAGCACTAAATAAAGTTCTAGTTCGAAGTTCGACTAAAGTTTGTTTTAAGAATACGGACGTTACACTATAATAGTATATTTGGTATAGATTATTATTACGATTAGTTTTGGTATGTTTGTATCATCAGTGATATATAATATAATAGTGATATATAATTTTTTAGCAAGATGTTGTAACTATGCAACGAATAAATTTTGGTTTGAAGAAACACGTACTTCAGTAATATAAAAAGGTAATACATCATCATTTTTACAGGAAACGCAAATGTTTACAAGAAACGCAATTAAGTTGTCCCGTATTCTCAATAAATCATCATTAACTACATGTAACACAACAATATGAAAATCTGTTAATTAAATAAAATATTCCAGCCTTCTCTTTGCAAAACCCGCCCATGAACGTTGCTGAACAAAATGTTAATCCTGGCCTTGTTCTTATTGGTCATTTGTTATATCAGACTGATATGCAGAAAGGTTCATTAGTAAATGTGTTTGCGGTGGTTGTCCGGAGAAGTCGACATGTATTCGTATTCGCTATCGTCAGATCATTTCCAATGTGACATGGTCACCGACAGTACCCTTGTTGTCGACCAATACTGGACCAGATACACCGGAGCCATCTGGATGCGATTTACTTTTAGTAGACCTGCTTGTGTTACAGCAAACAGAATGACCCTTCATTGAAAAGTACTGACCAACTTCAAAGATAGTGATAACACTTCCGCCAATAAACAAACCCAATTGACCTCCAATGTCACCTAAGGAAATAGTTATAGCGTGAAATATACTTTGTAACTAACTTAGGTCTATAATATACCTAATAATGATGATAATTATATACTATAATACTGTAATAATAATACTGTAATAATAATAATAATAATAATAACAATAACAATAATAACAATAACAATAATAACAACAACAACAATAATAATAATAATAATAATAATAATAATAAAATTATTATTAATAATAATAATAGTAATAATGAAGAGGGTGAGTTTTTCAAAATACATTAGGATTTCAATCGATATACAATTTGCATATAAAAATTAACCATGAGAGATAATGCATGCAACTAGATAAACAAATGATTCAATGTTAAATGTGCGATGAAAATAAACATTTCCAAATCCATAAAGATGCAGAAAATGGTATCAACAGCAAAAGTAATATCGAAGGCGGTAGATCTCCTTTTTATTTAGGCCTACACGCGAATGAGTTTCACGTCTTAAATGAATCAAAATATCGTTTTGTACAAATTACGCATGCACACATTGTAAAAGGCTGAGCCAATTTTGTAAACTGTGACGAGACATATTACGCTCACGCAGTGATTTAGAAGCCCCCATTGGCAGGTAGTGAAATGAAACGTACTCAATTTAGTTTACTTACTAAGAAGAGCTGAGAACGTCATTGCTGGAGTTTGTTTGAATACTTGCAAGTTCAACTCTTCATAATATACATCCAGCAAGATATAATTCTTCCTGTTAATAAATAAAACAGCAACAACTTACTTTGTCTTCTTAAAAACTAATATTCCTTCCTATCAATAAACCGGCACAGACTGCGCCAACCGGTTTCCGCAACGCAACATGAATCTCTTTTAACTACAGACAGCGTCGCATCATCAACCGCGCGTACGGAGAATGGATTTGCCCTACAATGCAGTCTTTGCGTAATAATGATAATAATAATAATACAATTATTATTATTATTTTTTACTTAGTACGTACATCTTTGAATATAGTGATCATGTGATTGCGAGCAGAATTTCCCTTAGTGAAATAATAATCGTCTTCAAGGCTAGGGCAATCTTTGTTGATGTTTAAGGTAAAATTTTATGTGAAGCCCTTACGAGAAGTATGGTGAAGAGGTTCCATAAAAAGAGTACAATTCATTCTCAACAGATAGGTTAGGAATGTCAGCATACGTGACGGACGTTGAGAACGACGTGTACGCACACGGAACTGGACAGTCGCATTCTTCTAGAACTCCGCTTTTCAGTTTCTCTGAAACAGAGAAATAATGCACTTTATATTTTCATACAAAAACATTTTCACAGGCAATTAAAATATAGAGTGCACAAAACATTTGCAGATTCAGCAATTCGAAGTAGAGAAGGCACAGGATGGACTCTCACAGATGTTTATGATTATGGCTGGGCCCTCTTGAATCGTCCACTGCAGAATATTTAAATATTGTTCGTGTAATCTAAACAATAAAGCTATGCCTAGCGATATCCTATAAATAATAATATAAAAAAAAACTTCCGTTTATATACCAGTTAAAACAAAAACTTAACTTCTATACAAACAACATTTAAAAAAATCATTACTGAGCACATCTGATGCGCAGCCCTCTGTTTCCTTTGGGGTACATTCTGGCTCATCACCTGGGTATCTACATAAAAAAAATAGAATAAACAATGATGATGACAACATTAATTGCGAAAATAATTGTATTGTTTTATTGGATATTGTTCGCTTATGTCAGTCTGTACAGGGCTTAAGAATAATTGGTTATCACATTACAGATAGACAACTCAGCTATATCATGGTTGGGAAAAATTAGATTACATCGCCTCTAGATGGCCTGAAATGACACTCTCAGGATTTTCTCCATTCCTTAATTTTGAAATATTTACGGGAGACCAGGCTTACATCTGGGTTCCCCTTGAATCCGCCACTGCATGGGGCGGGGTGTCCTCTAACGCTTATAAAATGATAAATGAACACATTCTTGAGAGGAGGGGTGGGTGAAGAGAGAGAAAGAGAGGACTTGATATTTGTTATACAAGGTTACTCAGAGACGCCTGGATTATCAACTATGACCAACATATTACAAATATAAGACCATAATGGAGATGCTCCCTACTGTACCAAGAAATTTGAGGGTACAAAGTTTAGCGAGGGAATGTCTGCATGCATATTCATGTATATCAGATAGGGTCTTTGACCTAACTCACCTAGAATAGCACCCTCTATAATGTCCGCCTTATGTGTATGGGAAAACATCTAAAAGACCCCAATTCTTAATATATCTCACCTCAGCCTTATTCATAATGGGGCGCACGCGCGGGTATAATAATTTTCGTAGTTTTTTATGTATTGAAGTGCCATTTCCAGCATCTAAAAGTCTCAAATTCTTACAGTTGCTTTACCTCAGCCTCAACCATGGTTAAGTATCCAAGTGCCGTTTTCGGGCACATAATTTCTTAAAATTTAAAATTTAGACATCTGCGCCCCAAAACCATGATGGGGCTCAGGTAGATATCGTAGATTTTGTACTATTCAAGTGCTATTTTGGACATCTATACAAGTCGAACATTTTCAAACTTTTCTCACCTAAGCCTCACCATGGTGGGGCTCAGTGGATATGGTATTTTTAGAATTGTAAGTACTTAAGTGCCATTTTAGGCTACCTATTATAATTAATTCAGTCTTTTTTTTTTTTACTTAATTCGTCAAAAATAAAAAGAATGAAAAGGTAATTTAAGTTCCATTTCCGGGCATCCAGAGGTATAAAATACTGAATTTGGTGCGGACTCTCATTTCAAGTCCAGGATACACCACTGTTTCTAAAAAAAAAAAGTTAAGCCAAATATATTTTCATTTTTTTGTTTTTGTTTATGTGAATGTCTGATAGGTTTACTTTAAAACAATGCTAAAAACACAGTGTCATTGCCAACACAGACACATGCACGACTGAGCTTTTTCTGAATTAGTAGTGGTACATAACGTTTGTCATGCACTGTATCATGTGCTATAGAAATGGAAGACCATAATGTCATGGATGAGAATATACCTCTCTGGTAGGGTCTAGAGTACAATCACTGTAAAATTGAAAGATACAGGCTAGTGTGAATTTAAACAATTTCCTAATTATAATGTTCAGAATATGTGTCAAGGAAAGTAAGTATGATTGTTGGAAAAAACATTTTATTTTTATTTCGCCTGTGCGAACTGGCCGAAGGTCTGGATTCGCGCCTGTGTGTTTATAAACATTACTGCTAAAACCTGTTTTAAACTCATTGACTGTAGCATCATCTTAATTTTTAACAAATTAATGTTACCTACTAGATCTTAAAGTTTTATATTTTAATTTACTGTATTATAACATAAATGAATTTAGATTAAGATGGTTACATTCACCAGTTATGTTTTTTAATGATGTATAATTTCACTTAAAGAAATTAAACAAATAACAGTCAATAAGGTACTATATATATTTAGTTTATAATTTCACACACTTTCATAAACAATGAAAGTGCCCTGTACATATTTCCGAAAATAAATTATTATTTCCAAAAAACAAGATATAAAAATTTAATCATTCTAAAAACACATGGACTATCAAACATCGATTTATGCTAATTTATTAATTCAATTTTTTACTATTTTGCTGATTTAAATAGTTCGAAAATTAAAAACAAAATCAGTTTTATTACTAAATTTGATCATTGAGGGCCATTTTAACATACCTGTCATTTGGGGCCATTTTTACCAGGGTCATATTTTTCTAGGTCATTTTTATCGAGCCTTTTTTTCAGTGGCATTTTTTCCGGGAACTTGTCTACATCCATTCCCCCCTTTCAGACTCCGCTCCAGAAATTTGCCGAAAATGGGCCCGACATATCCGACAGGGGTCCGAACCAATTGGCCGACTATAGCCTCGGCCCGAGTTTCTGAACAGAAAGTCCCTGGTAGGGTTCACTGTGAGATAATTTAATATGGTCAAACTTGTGCTCTTAGACCACAATATTAGATTAACAATCAAAATAACGTTATTTGTAGAGGCAAATTAATTTTTTTTTAAATTTTTTTTTTTTACATTTTTGATCCAGCGACTCCATAATGAAGGGTCGTGTCACATTATTATTTGCTGGAAAATGTTCTTAAAAGAATATTATACACCACTGTGTGATTAAAAAAAAGCTGAAAATTGTTTTCGATGGGAAAAGAAAAGCCTATCTAAATAGTGTATTAGATAGGCCTCTGTATTTAGTACCAACTACGTAGTACTGCCTAGCTAGTAGTAGTAGTAGTAGTAATAGGCCTACTGTTTCAGTTACCATATGACTTACGGATTTATTTTATTATGTACAAGCAAAGATAATAAATAGCAGAAGATAGAGCAGCTTCCCAATGTAGTGGAACATTAGTTGGAAAGGCATTGTGGGTACACGGAGAGCAATTTTACCCCGTCCGCGCGGTGGCGCTATATAGTAATAAAGGCGCCGCTCTGGTTCGTTTGTTTTCTGTAGTTTCTCCACTTAGTAAAATATTCAAATTTTACCCCATTCGCGGGAGGGCGGATGTTCCATCAATTTTAATGCAAATACGCGGAACAGCTCATTCTTCTGCTATTTAAATTCTTTGGTACAAGTTATTTTGGAGATACCCTGGGACTGGAACCCTACCTAGAGGCTTCCACAAACACCCGTTTATTATACAAATTTCGAAGTTTTCCTGTGCGTGTAAGCAAAGAGTATAAATAGAACAAGAGAGCCAACAACGCTCATTGAGAGCGTAAAAAACGATACGCCCATACGCAGCTAGTGTAGGACGCCAACTGACGCTTGTATGTGTTTTATTACTCCACCGTGCACGGTCGGTTTGTCTGTTTATCTGTTCTCCACAAGATGCTGTACTTTTGTTTTCTGCATAGAGCTATTAAACAACTAGAGGGCCCAATATGGCGTCATTGTTTTCTACTTATTGAGTTCATAGTGGGCGTACTTTTATCGCGCTGGGTAATAAAAAGTGCATACAACCGTCAGTGGACGTAAGAGGCCTAGGCATGGTCTCCTACTATTTTTGGAGCCGAATAAACGCGATGTTGTACGACTAGCTAAGGAGATAATCTACTTTGGTCAAGCAAAAACTACATGTAATATAATAATTATTTATAGCCTATTGGGAATCAATTTCTTTTTAAATTTTTTTATAAACTTCAAACACGCATTATTTAACAGATATTTACTATCAAATGACATAAAATTTTCTTATTAATATTTTTATTTTTTTTCAATTACCTGATATTTATACAATCGCCACACTGTAAAATAGGCGTTGTGTCCACTTTTGCATAGAAGGACCCAATATGGCGTCTCATAACTCTCTCTATATAGGAACTCTATGCCACCCTCCCCACTGGCGCCACCCCACTGCCTGCAGACACCATAACTGGGGACTTCCGGTGGGGGATTCTTATGCTTGATCTGCTACAATTTGCAAATATTTGAATTATTGTACGTATAGTATGTTTATTATATAGTTATCTACTCTTTGAACCACATTATGAACATGTCATGCACGTAATCCCCTAATTGGATTTGTTTATAGCATTTACTTACCGAATAGGTCTGCAACCACACTTGTTGACAATGTGTTTATGCCGGCACTCCAGTAAGCAACCGGAGACCGTGTATATTTCGTAGTTGTTAAGCTTCAAGGATTTGTCACAGTCTCCGTGGGGGTCACCTAGTGTTTTTACCTATGGCGATTGGACACAATAATATTTATGTATTAAGAAACTTGTAGGATTTTATTGATAACATTAAAATGCCATTTAAATTCAAACGTACCGCCTTATTTAAACCTGAACCATATTTAACAATTGTTGCCACCGTAGCTGGCAGTGGCATATCTATGGGTACTTAGATGGGGGAGTGGATGAAAGTCGGAGGTTGGGGGAGGTACGAAATAATAGTTATGTTTATTTATTTGTGTTCAATTAGTAGGAAATTATCTGACCATGAAGATGTTCAGAATGTAATTTGAAAGGGAAACTGATTAAAAGGATACATGCAGTCAATTATATATTTCTTCAAAAAGAACCAGTAAAATTTTGCCCATGCTCAGCAATTAATAAACTGTCGTAGCCAAAAAGAGGCCAAGTAGAGTATCTTATTCAAAAAAAAAAAGGGGAAAAAAAAAGAAAAATTCAAATCGTGTACATTACACCCATACACCGCAACGCTCGAGTTTCAAACATACGAGTAACTAGCTGTACTAAACTTTCTGGGTAAATTGAGGGCGCCATTGAATATGATAGTGCTTAGGCGAAATTTAATTGGCTGAATCTATGGCAGCCATCTTGGTTGGTACACACACAGCTCTGCGTATTTCGAATACATTAAAGTTAGCGCTCTAGTATTCCTATTATATCTCTATTATATTTATTATATCTATATTATATCTATGGATTATTTACAAAAAAAAAATGCAAATTTGAATATAAAATATAATATTACAAAAATATGAAGTTAAAAATGCTCCCTACTTATAAAATAAAGTAGGCCTAAATACATCAGCAATTATCGTTAACAAATGTAAATCTTGGATTTTAACTTAAAACTTAATGATCATAATTTTATTTATTCATATTTTAATTTTAGTATCACAAGTCTTTTTTTTTTTTTTTGCCAAAATTTTGTCAATTCTTGTGATATGTTTTAGTATATCATGTTGATTCATGACTTGTTATTCTTTTTTTAATAACTTTTGTTACGTTGATGCATAACCTGTTTTTCAAAATAAGATTTTACTACCTTTGTACACCCTTGAACACACTGTTTAACTGGGAGCCTGTAAATCACAAAGAATGGGATTAATATGTTATTGACAGGGAATAACATCTGTCTCTTATACACATCTAGATGTGTATAAGAGACAGATATACAGGTACAGATTTATGTGCTTTAAACATTTTCAAATGGGAGGGGCGAATAGGGGAGGGGCGATTTTTTTTCCTACTTCCCTATATACGCCACTGCTTATATCGGCTTCAAAGATGAAATTAAAGCCAAGCATTTACTGTGCCCGACGGTCGTCGGCCGACATGATTCTATAGAGAACGCAACGCAACGCCATGACGCTCGTGCGACGCATTAAAAAATGCCCGGCTTAACAATTACAGAGCAGTGTTGTAGCTTTTATGTTGAGATGCTTTCCTTCTAATCCCAAGGTCCCAGGTTCAATTCCTGCGATTGCAGGACTTTTTCAAGACAAAACATCTTGATTTCAATATTATCTACCTTTATTACCGACACTATTTTAAAAAGCAACATTTGCACCTAGTTTTGGTGTTAAAAAATAGGAATTTCACTATGTATAGGCCCACCCCAGTTGAAATGGGACTCTTCTTCTTTTTTTTCAAAACAAAACAACTTGATTTTAATATTATCTACCTTTATTACCGACACTATTTTAAAAAGCATCATTTGCACCTAGTTTTGGTGTTAAAAATAGGAATTTCACTATGTATAGGCCCACCCCAGTTAAAATGGGACTCTTCTTCTTTTTTTTTCAAAACAAAACAACTTGATTTCAATATTATCTACCTTTATTACCGACACTATTTTAAAAAGCATCATTTGCACCTAGTTTTGGTGTTAAAAAATAGGAATTTCACTATGTATAGGCCCACCCCAGTTGAAATGGGACTCTTCTTTTTTTTTCTTTTATCTCTAATTAACTTAACTAAACTCACACAAACTCCTAAATTATGGTTAAATATCATTTTTTTAATAGAAAATAATAGAAAATAAAGAGAAAATGTGTGCCCGGAGCTCACATTTACCATTAATAAAATTGAAAATTAAACGGTTATTGGCATTAGGCTGAAACTAACTGGATCAAAGTAGAAATGATGGGCGTATTGTATTGTTTAACATTTGCATTAAACATGTTTTCTTTTGTATTCATTGTACTTTTCCATGCTGACCTGCTGCTTTCATTTTGTTTAACTTGTGTTACTGTATTATTGAATTGTGCTGTTTTCGTGGGTAGATTATGTTTAGGAGAATTATATTTAATCTACTAATTTTGTTATTAAGAACTTCAGTAGTACTGGTAGTACCAGTAATTAAAAAAGGACATCATTCAAAAGGAAACCAAGAAAAAACATAAAATGCAAGGCAAGGACAACAATCAAAAGAAAAATATCAAAGCACAGAGGGATTTAAAAACAAGACAATTACATTTGAAAAATAATTAATGTTGCGATTTTCTTATTATGATGCCGATTTGGTGTGATATGCCCATATGTTGGTGTAATATGACTAGTCTTCTCGGATAAGGACTATAAACCGTAGACTCAGTGTCATAGTTTGGCTCATGGCAATTTAAGTGCACCTTTCGAGTCGAGTAAGGGGTAACATACTGGTTCATACAGCCTCTGTTGTGGACAGACGAGAGATAGCCGGCACCAGTTTTACCGGTCGGACACGAAGTGATCCTATTGGGCCTGAGAAGTAAGGTAATGTACGAGCTATAATCCACACCGTCGAGCGCTTTGAGACTTTGGTGTAACCTACATTATAATAAATCAGCAGATATTGTTAGCATGCCAATTCAAAAAATATCAAAGGCGCAATAAACCCGACTAAAAAGCTTTAGGAAATAAGAAAATTTTGAGATTATTCTTAAATAATATTAAATTTGCAGACTGTTTAATAAAAATAGGTAACTGGTTCCAGAGAAGAGGCCTTAAAAGAAAATGAATGTTGACCATGTTTTACGTAAGATAAAGGGACTTGTAGAAGTTGTTATTCAGTTTAAATGAGAATGACTTAAAAACAAGTAAAAGTAGTTTAAACGTAGTTCTCTGTTTAACTGGGAGCCTGTAAATCACAAAGAATGGGATTAATATGTTATTGACAGGGAATAACATAGCAAATTCGGGCAGCAGATTTTAAACTTTCTGTAATTTCTATTGATGAGGAAATCAGGTAAACCAATAAACAAAGAGTTACAAAAATCCAACCTTGACGAAATGAATGCATGAACAGGTTTTTAATTGATTTGGAACAGCGCTACATCCGGATTCTCCAAAGGTTGTGAATATTAAAAAAGATGAGATACAAATTGGATGAAAAAAAAAAAAATAAGAGATTCATTAAAAATAACACCTAAACAGCAGGCAGATGGAAGATGGTTGACAACAGTATTACTGAAACAGAGTAAAGAAAATTGTGGTTTTCGGTGAAACTTGGAACGAAAAAAAAGTAAATTCGGTTTTATAGGGATTGAGTTTAAGCATACTGTGAGACATCATTGTTTGGATTTCGGTTTGCAGCATTGGAACTTTTCAAAAGTAACAGTTGTTTCAGCAGCGGGATCAAAAGGAAGAGAAATCTGGATATCATTAGCGTAAAGATGAAGCTTAACATTGTTGGAACCTAAGATATTTGCAATAGGGGAACTATAAAGAATAAGAAGAAGGGCATCGATAAAACTTCCCTGGGGGAACACCACATCAAAGTTGAGTAGGTTCAGAGTTGGAATAAAAATATTAACTAATTGAAACAGAGAAGAAATTACATATACATATAATTCCTCAATACCAGCCTTGTACAATAATATTTGTATTAAATTTAGACTATATTCAATGTATTTTTTGTTCTAAATTGCTATTAAATTTATGCAATTTTGCAACATTTGTTTTAGCTTTTTATATATATTTTTTTTTCGTGATTTGTATTTTGATTTGGACCAATTAAAGGAATGAATGAATGTTGTTAATACTGATTTTGAAGGAACCACATGAATTGAATCAAATATAAATATTAAAATAATTAGTAGTTAAGCGTTCAATTTAATTTTATTTTTATTTTATTCAGGTATAAAAATAATACAAAAAGTAGCCAAAGGCTAAAATTATTGCATTTACAAAAATATAGAAGGCCTTAATTACAAATAATGAAATTACACAAAAACATTAATATACGCATTTACAAATTAAGAATGATTATTTACAAAACACATAAAAGATTACATTAAATAAATAAAAATATAAATAAAAATTTTAATTCTGAAAAACCAAGGACTTTTAACTGTTACCAGGATAGGCAGCTGGCTGGTTTAAGCCGTCTAACTTAATTTAGCCTTATGTGTGATATTGTTATGCAAATGAGTCAGATAAGCACAATCTGCATATGCTCAGAAAAACAAAACTTTCCTTAGCCGCACGATGGCCACTCTGTGTATCGGCTAGGCGTACAGCTAGGCCTAGCCGAGAATTACGGTACGGAAAAACAAAGTAAAATAAGAGTACTAATTTCACTTGACATGTAAATCAATCATACTTACACACTAAAAAACAAACTTTTTAAAAGCCTTATCCCGTTTCTTCACCAATTGCCGTAAATTATTGTTGAACCACGGTTTGTACGATTCATTTTTTTATGGTAATCTCCGGAATATATAATTCATACGCATTACAAAGTTGGGAATTAAATTCTTCAGAAATGAGATCTACATATTTATCTCCAGAAAGACACCAGTTATATTGGGTAATTCATCTTCCAAATTCTAAAACATTAGATTCCTTAAACGGTCTCACAGTCTTCGTAAATTTTATTACGCCTAATAATAATTGATTTGTGGTCACTTTTTCCGATATTGGCAATTGGTGCAGTCTCTCTGAAAAAGGAAGGATGATTAATAAAAACTAAACCTAGCAATGCATTGTCTCTTGTTGGAAAGTCAACGATTTGCTTGAAATCAAGTTTAGTAGTCAAATCCGTAGTGTCTATAGGATTAAAGTCACCCATAATCAATATTGTAGCATAAGGTTTCTTGCTTCTAATTAAGTCAATGAATACTGAGTTATAATTTAGTAATTATAAAGGTTGACCTTAGCATTCAAGGCAAGGCCAATTTTTGCTTAACAAAAGGCCAGCCGTAATTATTACCGGTATTATAAAATTCTTTCGGGTATTTATAAGAGATTTATAATAGTGAAATGATCAATAAATAATATGGTAATCCAGACACGTTAGCAGAAACTGCTGATGCAATAATATTCGGAGAGCAACTTAGCTCAGTCGGTTAAATGAAGGTAACCATTGGGTGTGCGATGACCCTATTTAACCTTTTTGGACCTTGGTGCTTGGTTCAATTCCTGTTTTCCGTTTCTCGGTGATAGATTTTTTGGTGTTACACACTAAAGGTGACCCACTGAAGTCTGATTACTTATTTGTAGATGAGTCCTTTCAATAGACTGCTGGTCTTTTATCCACGATGACAGCGACGTGGGCGTGGTCGGACGTCGCCCAAAAAGTCGTCAGAAGGAAAAGGCCCTGCAAACTATAACAATTTCGAAGTTTCAAATGTTTATTTAACTAATTTTAGAGTCTGCTAATAATTATGTAAAAAATATATATGATTTGTTCCTCCTCGATGTGGTTATTCTCGATGGCGCGGGACTCTAGCGTGACCCCTGCTTTCATCACAAACTGAAACACGAATAAAACAGGGATTGGATTGAACCAAGAGGCGGAAGAGTATTTTTGGCGTGAAACACACATAACTCTTTAAAAATAAAAACTTTTACTTTCATGTGGGGTCCTTCTGGTGGAGATTGGGCAGTACATGGGAAGACAATGCCATATTAAGCAAAAGTAGAGCTCCGCATAATACACTATGGGAAAATTATTATACGAAGGTTAGATCTAATACTGGAAAAAAT